CTACACGTAATCGACTCCGAACCCAACTTTAATTTTAAAGATTATCTTTTAAAGGGTTTTCCAATGTTTTTTTGAAATAAAATATTGGTGGCGGCTCCATTGAAAAGAAATGTTAGCGTCATCCCGTTGTGATCCCGGTTATGACATTGACTTTATAAGAGTTATACGACCAACTCTCTGTTTCACAGTTTTCTTTTCCCTCTAGCTAAGCAACCTTGAACTCTCTCCATTACAGGGGCAAAGTCTAGCTTTTTAATACACCTCGTTAAGATAGGAAAACCCAAGTACTTATTAATGGGATGAGTATGAGTGAAGCCAAGAATATTCTCAAATTGTATTATTTTCCTCCTAGACATATTCTTAGATACTAAAACTCTAGATTTTCTAATGTTGATCTTAAAACTAGGAACTAGACAAAAGGCATTATGAACCTATTTGACTAAGCTTGCTTGAGTATATGAAGCTTTGGTGAATAAAAGGCAATTGCTAGTAGAAATAAAAGGTGAGAGATCTTAGGGTCATGTCTAGAAATTGAAATAGGTGACCAATCATTGGAGGAGACTTTTTGTTGAATCAACAGGGCCAATTTAAGAGTAAAGGGACATGAGGTCTCCCTACCTTGAACCACTAGTTAGGGTAACGTAGTCAAAAATATCATTATTCCACTTAAGGGAAATAGTAGCTTCACCTGTGCAATTCATGATCAAGCCTATGGTTTTCTAAGGGAACCTGAATTCATTGAGTGTAAATTTAAGAAAAGCCTAATCAATTCTATCATAATATTTTTTGAAGTCAATTTTAAGCATCAAACAACCCATCTTTCCTTTCTTCTTGTGCAAGTGATGTGCAATTTCTTAAGCTATGGTTGCATTGTCATTGGTCTTTATTTTAGGAATAAAGCTGCTTTGTAGGGGCCTATAAAATTATCTAAGTGAGGACTAATGCGATTAACCAACACTTTGGATATAATTTTATAGGACATGTTACAAAAGGCTTATGGGCCTGAAGTCTTTCAAAGAGAAAGGTTGGTTGACCTTAGGGATAAATACCATGGTGAATATATCAATTATTTGAAGCAGTAACAATAAGCTCAAAAACATTAGAGGAGTTGGTGTCTTAATAGGTTCTAAAGAAAATGGGTTGAAACCAGTTTGGGCTAGGAGCTTTATACTGGTCCATCACAAAAAAAACTTGCTACACTCCATTAAGAGAAATTAGGTGAGTCAAATTTTGGCTATGAGGATGGTTTACCTTATTGCTTTGAAAAAACTTCTTAAAGAAACTGTGAGTTTCCTTCTTAAGCATATCCACATCATTGCACCACAAACATCCAATATCAAAACCTATAACTTTATTTCTTCTTCTTTTTTTTCTTCTTCTTTTAATGATGGTTTGACTATGGAAAAGTTTTGTGTTTTTGTTTCCATAATTAACCTAGATTTCTTTTAATTTATGAAAACATAACATCTTTTCTTCAACTAGAACTTGATTGTATCGGCATTAGAGGTCCTTTAAAAACTTGCATAGATCATGATCATAGGCCACATCCAAAACTCTTTGAATACCTTTTATATGGGCATCTGATTTCCTTTTCACGCAAAAAATATTCCTAAAGATCGTATCATTAAAATTAAGAAAACTAGCCTCTAGTTTCTTCAATTTAAAGTTGATAAGGCACAACTAGATCTCCAAGTTTGGTCAACTACACCACTACAACATGGATGAAGAGTCCATGCTACTTGGAAGTGGAATCTATTGTGATTTTTATTCATTTCTTTTAAACAACTCATTAAAAGCAGATTGTGGTCAAAGTTGTAAGATGGGAAAATTTCAATCAAAGAATGGGGAAAATCTAAATGTCATTGAGTTTTTTTTGTGTCATGTATAAAGACCTCCTTTGATATCATAATCTAGCATGGAGCAAGCATCCATCATGTTAGTTAAGAGATTAGCTCTATTCAGAGAGAAGGTACCACCATAAACCTTGGAAGGGAGAAGGACTTAATTCAGATCACCAACCATTAACCAAGAGCTTCTAAAGCTACTACTTAAGGATATAAGATGATCCCACAAGTGGCCTTTAGAGACTGAAACTAAGGAAGCATAAATCAATCAACAATTCCAAAATAAAAATTGTGACGTTGAATTTTGAAGGTAATCGATTGGTGAAATTACTCTACTAGAGTCAAAACAACATAGATAATGCTTGTAAGAATCCATATTCCTCTTGAATAAAAATTAGCTTGTTGGATGAACAAGATTTTGTAGAATAGAGAATTCTACTCCTTGTCCATTATATCAAATTGGGTATGTGTTTCATATAGTAAAAAGAAAGAAAGGTTGTATCGTCGAATTAACTCACTAATGTTATGCCTTGTGCGACGCCCAACTGCACCAAGAATATTCCAAGAAATGAGTGATATATCTTTAAAATAAACCATAAAACATGACTCATGAGGTAGAATAAGGATGCTAACCATTACGTTGGGCCTATTTTAGAGGTAGAGATAAGGGGATGTTGTCCATGTCATTAGAAGGGGCCACATAACCCTCATCCATATTCTGAGTATTTTCTCTATGAGGTGTCTCTTGCCCACTCAGTTTGGGCTGGGTATCCTGAAAACCTTTTTTTTGTCATCCTCAATATCAAGTTTAATCTTGAAGTATCCATGGCCAATGTCCATCAGATCAAAGCTAGTTGTTAATCTCCATAACCTGACAATTCTTTCATGGTGTTGAAACCAACCGCCTTTCCCAATAGCTTTATCACTAAAACGTCTTGCCGTGGAGTGCATTGACCCTCAATTCTTGATGTGAACCTTAGGTTTCAAGCAATTATCATCTTCATATTATTCTTGCAAGGTTTTCCTTGAATAGGTCCACCAAGTAGTATCGCTTCTTTGTTCCGCATTGTCTTTTCACAAAAGAAAATGCGTTGTTGTTATCCTTTACCATCTGAAAATCCCTTGTTAGAGTCGCTTTCGCTTGTAGTACCCATAAAGAAAATAAAGTTTCCACCACTTGTCATATCATACATTAATTACTTATATACTTGTGTACATATATGTTTGTATTTTTTTTTTGTAATTATTATATATATCTATATATCTATATATATATATATATAACTATTAGTATTAATATAGATAAAAAGATAATACTAAATATTTTAAAATAAAAAACCAAATTAAATAATAATTTAATTAGTAAATTAAATAGTACTTATAAACAAATAAAAGACAAGAACAGTAATTTATCCATTTGGTTTTTTTTATTCATAGTAATTTGTCCTTATTATTAGTTATTTACATGGATAAAATAAAATACTAAGAAAAGGTGAGAGGATATTGTAGAAGGGGTAGTATAGTAAATATGAAAAATAGAACTTTGAAAGAGAAGAGAAGAGAGGCGGGCGGGAGGGCCAAGTGTATTGTATATAACAAAGTGTTGGAGGCCAATTCGCTGCCACTCAAACATATTCTTCTTCTTCTTCTTATTATTATTATTATTATTTTCTCTTTACCTTTTACTTTTCGAATTCAAAAACACCGTAACAGAGCCCAGAATTTTTGGGTTCCATCCCAACAACAAAGCCACACGAAGAAGGAGAGAGGTTGCAACGGGAAAACGAAGAAGTGTTCTTCTGTTTCTTTGCAACCGAAGAATCACCCGCTTCTCCCCGTTACAGCTCTCCCCTCTCTTCTTTCCCCTTCAATCGCACAAGGTACCGTACCAAACGCCGCGTTTTGTTCCCTCCTCCCTCATCCACCTTAAACAAAATCCATTCTCTTTTTCGTTATTACGTTTTACGTTTGCAAATCCACCGAAGATCGATCCATGCCCGTATAACGTCCGCAAAACCCGCACTTTCTGCATTTCCCGGTCACCCAACCTGGCATTGCCGGTTGCTTCAATCACTTTCGTGAATTTCGATGCATTGGATTGCGACTCGTGATTTTAATGCAATTATTATCATAGAATATGCAATTTTTTCTTTCTTTGGACTTCATTTGCTCTCTTCGTTTGTGATGCTTTCTAGATTCAAACTCAGATCTGCACCGACTTTTGCATTTATTGTGAATTAATTCGCCGTTATATTGGTGCCTGAAACAATATAATAATGAATCTCCAATCGATGTTGATGTTTTTCCTTCCAAAAATAGCCTTTCAGCTTTGTATTGCAATTCGGATGATGGCGCTAATAAATGCATTTCCTTTTAAACGAAAGATGCTTCGGGTTTCCATGCAGGTGCAGGGTTGATTCACCATGGTTGCAACGGCCGCAACGGCGTCGTTTACCCCTGTGCCGTCGCCGGACACGGGGAGAGGAAAGCCAACGAAATTCGGGTCCGTGAGCGTGGGAGGGCTGAAACCGAAGCAAGGTAACGGTCGCTTGCAGGTGAAGGCACAGGCGCAGGCAGCACCCAAGGCTAAGGGAGCGGTGGTGGAGGACGAATTGGCATCTTCGGCGTCGCTTTCTCATGCTCCGAGGACTTTCATCAACCAGTTGCCGGACTGGAGCATGCTCCTCGCCGCCATCACCACCGTCTTCCTCGCCGCGGAGAAGCAGTGGATGATGCTCGACTGGAAGCCGCGGCGCCCGGACATGCTCGTTGACCCCTTTGGGATCGGAAAGATCGTGCAGGATGGGCTTGTGTTCAGGCAGAACTTCTCGATTAGGTCCTATGAGATTGGCGCGGACAAAACCGCGTCTATAGATACCATAATGAATCATTTGCAGGTTAGTTAGTTGAGTTCATGCAAAAAAGTAGAGAGAATTGTGGTGGATAGAATTTTTATACAGCTCAGAAGGAGCTTGTGATGCTGTTTTTTTAATCACAATTGGGGTTTTATGTAGGTAATTTGCTTGATAAATGTATGTTTGCAAGCAAATTATCGAGATAAAATTTCAATTCTGATAGGGAATTTCAGTAATGTGCTTAATAAATGTATGTTTGCATGCAAATTTTTTAGATAAAACTTAAATTGTGATTGGAGAATTTTGGTTATCTATACTTATTATAACGAGGGGATACATTTTAGTAACCACTCTTTTGATCTTCACTTTTAAGTGGACCTTTATACTTTTGAATATAATTTTTTTTTTTTTTTATATCTTCTATAATTTTTAATATTTGTCTCGATCCCTCAAGTCTGTATAATAAATATATATTTGCAAGCATATTAGATAAAACTTTAATTTTGATAGGAGAATTTCAATTATGATCGAGGATAGTATTAAAAGCACCTATGGAATCTAAAGTAATCATAACTAGAGTTTCACCTCGGTAATTTGTGTAATAAATGGTTGCATGAATATTATGGAGATAAAACACCAACTTTGATGGATGGGAGAAAAGTATTAAAAAAAAAAAAAAAACCCGTGGAATTTAAATTTATGTAAAATTTTTCCAATTGGATATTGGTGTTTTCATTTTTATTTATATATTATTTGTTTGTTTTAACGACAGGAGACTGCACTTAATCATGTGAAGACTGCGGGGCTTCTGGGTGATGGTTTTGGTTCAACGCCAGAAATGTGCAAGAAGAACCTCATATGGGTGGTGACCAGGATGCAGGTTGTGGTTGATAAGTATCCTACATGGTAAGTTGGTGTGACTTGCCTCTTTAATGTGGAAATTGCAAAGGCGTCCATGTTCAGCTGTTAAATATTCTTTTGCCTTAGTCACGTTTACTTTGACTTATTGAAATATTTGGTTGAGATTTTATTTATTTATTTATTTTCATTTCCTTTTGCATTTGTTCTGTCACCTGTGCATTGCGTTTCCAAAAAATGGCATAATAGTTGGGAACTTGGGATTTATTGCATGTTTTGAAAAGATTATAGATTATTTTTGAAAATGATTTTATTTTTCAAAAGCTATCTCAAGAAGCTCTAAAAAATAAAACTACTTCTGCAATGTATATGAAATTCTTCTTGAATGGTGATAGATCTAATAAGCATAAGTTTTATACGTAATGAATTATGGGAAGTCCTTTGCCTTAAGTCTGTTAGATTGGGTATGAGATAATATGGTAATAAACTTCTATTTTTAGATTATTTTACCTTTAGTAAAAAATTGTATATTTTAGTTTATTATGGTAAAAAGTTGGGTGCATATATAGTTTTTCAAAAGAAGCTACTTATACCGCGTTCCCTTTACATTTTGCTTTTTTTGAGAATAAATTCTTTAGTAAATTCTGAACCTGTTCATCGGAAGTTGAGTGAATCTATATTTGCTTCAGGGGTGATGTTGTTCAAGTAGACACTTGGGTTTCTGCATCAGGAAAGAATGGTATGCGTCGGGATTGGCTTGTGCGTGACATCAAAACTGGTGAAGTCTATGCAAGAGCTTCCAGGTAGAAATCAGTTTCAGGAATTCTTTCTTCAGTTGCCTATAGACATGTTTAGAAGTGTATTTCTTCTGAATCTGGATGTATTACTCTAGTAATCGGGCACTGCTTTTAATTTCGCATGGCTGTCTGAGGTTAGGTGTTATCATACTTACTTTCTCTTATACACCACAATTGAAAATTGAATTCATCAGCTTGCTTTCCTCATGCGTTTGGAAATCTTGATAAAAGCAATTAATGTCAACAGATTTAAGTATATAAATTTTGCAGATGAGAATTTCTGAATCTGTCAACACTCAACAGTATTGTGTTTCTCCTTAATTTTTATTATAAAGTACAATCCTTCAAATCGTGCACATGCTGCACCTCGGTGCTCGGAACTTATAGCATTTTCTGATCGATTGATTTGGATTTTGGTGTTCTACAGTGTTTGGGTCATGATGAATAAACATACAAGGAGACTTTCTAAAATTCCAGAAGAAGTCAGAGGAGAGATAAGCTGTTATTTTGTAGATTCTGCTCCAGTTGTGGAAGAGGATAACAGAAAACTACCCAAACTTGATGATACAGCTAATTTTATTCGTACTGGTTTAAGTGTAAGCCAACTCTTTATGTAATTGTTATCATTGATTTATTTTCTAAAATATCTCAGTTGTTTTCTAATTATGTTATGTATCTCTATTTTCAGCCCAGATGGAATGATCTGGATGTTAATCAGCATGTTAACAATGTGAAGTACGTTGGGTGGATTCTGGAGGTATTCTTCTGTTCATGTATTATTATTTTTTCTGTCCTTAATTTCCTTTTTTTTGGTGGATTTTTACTGGGGCTCCTCTAACCTTTTGCAAGGCAGGTTGAATAGTGATAGTATTATTCTGCAACACCTACTTTCCTTTTGAAACACTCTCAAGGCCATCAAGTAATTAATAGTGATAGTGTTATTTTGAGAGGAATCTGGTTGTGATTAAAAGCATTAAGATTATGTTTCAGATTTCTAGTCCCATCAAGTGAAAGTTGTTTGAAGAATCATTCAATTTTGTATCATGGTTGTTGACATTTGATGCCTCCTATGGAAGTGGCTTGAAACTTGATACATCACAAATGAGATAATTGAGTAGTACATAAAATGCTATACGTTGGATGGAAAATAGAACAACCCTTTCCTCCATTTTGATTATTTTTTTATATGTTTTATTTGTTTAGTTTGTTATGTAATTGGATTTTGAAGAGGCCACTTAACCAATGTATTATGCGTTGATTACTGCAGAGTGCACCACAGCCACTATTGGAGAGTCATGAGCTGTGTGCCATGACTTTGGAGTACAGAAGGGAGTGTGGCAGGGACAGTGCCATGACTTTGGAGTACAGAAGGGAGTGTGGCAGGAACAGTGTGCTGGATTCTCTGACTGATGTGTCTGGTGCTGATACAGGCAATATAGGAGACGGTGGACTTTTTGAGTGCAAGCACTTGCTTCGACTTGAAGATGGTGCTGAGATTGTAAGGGGTAGGACTGGATGGAGGCCCAAACCAGGAAACAACCTTGGTGTTTTCAGTCAGGTTACAGCAGAAAACATCTGACTTTGATTGGCAGTGACATCAATATCGTTCCCACGTGCAAATTGGATTATAAATTGGATTACACATATGGAGAGCTTTGCTTGTTTTTTTATCAGATCTAAGTGTCTTAAATATATAAAATTTGTGAGGAGGAAGTAGAAAGTAAAATCTCACTCACTCATTGTAATTAAATAGCTCCTGGCACTACTTTCCCTAGCTGCTCCATCTTCCATTTCATTTTTATGGTTGTGCTGCTGCTAGGTGTCATTAATATTTATTCGTTTCATCAAAATGGCTAAGCATGTATATTATAATTTTTTTTCTCTCTTTTCCCTTATAAGAAAGATGCAATAATACCGAAACAAATAATAGTACGTATACGCGTTGAAGACAAGACACTTCGATATTATAATTTTTCTTCTTCTTTCTTTTCCCTTATAATAAAGATGCAATAATACCGAAAGAAATAACCATACATATACGTTGAAGACATGACACTTCGGTCACTTTTGTTATTTCTATTATAAGTAATTATGTGATGATATGGATCACCGATTCTAATTCGGGGATACTAGAGTTTATTGATTTAGAATTTTATTGGATTTAAAAAAAAATTAGTAAAAAATAGTTTTTTATTATTTAATCAAGATTTTATGTCACTTAAAAATAATTTAGTAGTATTTAATATGGATTTTCAAGATTTTTTTAAAGAGTATTAAAATTTATTGGTATTCATTTGAAACTTTTTACAACTTAAAAATAATTAATTAGTATTAAAAAAATATAAAGATTTTAAAAGATTATTATATTATAGAGATTTTAAATACTTATAAAATAATCTCATTCAAGAATGAGAACCTTAAGATCACGTGTTTTTGAGATGATTGTGGTTTTGGATTCCTAGATCTTAGGGAGACTATCCATGATCTTAAAATTATTTTGAGCTTCGGAAAACTCAATTTCTAGGGATTTTAAACCATTTAGAAATATTTGGAATCTTTCAAACATTTCATCTATGGATTCACTCTTTTTCATGGAGAATAACTCATAGTGCCTTTGAAGTGTGACAACTTGTATAAGCCTTCCATCTTCAGTACCTTTATGAGTTACTTTGATGGCATCCCACATTTCTTTAGCTATTTATTAGTTACAAAACTTCTTGTACTTTGTTTTGGATAAGGAGCAAGCAAGGGTGTATCTTGCTTTAGTATTGAATTGTAATGTGTTGTAGTCATCCTGAGTATATTCATTATCAAGCTTGGTAACAATATCACCTTGAGTGATGATTCACCAAAGGTGATATTGGATGGATTTGATGAACATTTCTATTCAATCCTTCCAATAAAGGTAATCCTCTCCATTAAAGATAGAGGGCCTTGTAAGAGAGGCTTCTTCTAGTAGGTAAAGTAAGAAAAGTAGTCAAATGAAACACTAATTATTTTTATATTGGTTCGCCTTAACTATCGAGACTATGTCCAGTTTTCAATCCAACCAAATTGAGTTTCACTATCTTTAAACAAAGATACAAGTATTTTTTTACTAAGCCACTTTTGGCTTAATCTTAAGTATTTTTTGACTTGCCTCTTCAAGCAACTACCCAAATATTCTTTTAACAACAAGCCTCTCAAGGCTTAGTGACCAAATATTCTTTTACAGTCAAGCCTTTCTAGACTCAAAACAAGTATTTTTTTACAGACAAACCTTTTCAAGCTTAACCTTATAACAATGTTATGAAGGTTATATTAAATGTTGTGTTCATCTCACTTAAATGTTATATAACCAATTTATAGAGCAATGACTGTTTATAAGAAAAAAAATGAATTTTTCCAGAGAACAAGTTTATGTACAAGTATATATCGCATCTCTATCTTTATTGTTCTTTGAAAACTTCTTATATAGTAATCTAGAGAAGATGACTGTTGTAACACTTTAAGTTTAGCTGCTTTGTCTATTTTCATCGTCTTTCCTTGTGGTGACAGGTAATTGTTTGACACATTTAATGTGAACATTAAATGTATTTTATCAAATAGTACCTCTTACCTGATCAAGGAGACTACTTATCAATTTTTCATAGCAAACGAAGCTTGTAAAAGCAATGTCAACACAAAGTAACTATAATAGTGACTTTATTTACTTTTATCCATGATTTAGGGATTTGGCTTTGACGAAAAGAATGATTTTTCTCTTTAACAAATTTATGAATTCTGAGTCAATCTTTTGATTTGATTTTTTAAGGAATGAAATATTTAAATCGAACGTTGTCGTTAGTCTCAATAAATGATAAATATTTAAAGCATATAAAATAATCTGTATACTTTGTCTGGTTAACAATTATCTTATAGACAATTTGTATCTTACACTTACGGATGAAAAATAAAATCCGTACCTGTGAGTAATACCCAAACCCGTCTCAACTTTGACGTGGAATACCCTGTTTGACCGGGTACGGGTACAGGTACGGGTACAGGTACGGGTACGGGTACGGGTACGGGTACGGGTAAAACCCGATATGTTAAACCGGGTACGAGTACGGGTACAAGTATATATATACTTGCCCCGTACTCGTACCCGTACCCGTACCTGTCCCCGATTGAATTATGTTAAAAAAATTTAATATTTTATTATGTGTAATTATTTATTATAATGTAAAACATTTATAGTTGTTTAATTATTAAAAAATCTCTTGATTAAAATATGAGATAGAGAAACAATTTAATCATGATTATAATATAATGAAAAAATAATTTAAAAATATTGTGTATTTTTTTGTAAAAAAAAAAATAATTTACGGGGGCGAAGATAGGGACGGAAATTACATACCCGACGGTATGGGTACGGGGATGGGTTTGAGTCGCGAGGACGGGGACGAGTATCATGAAACCCGTACCGACCCGCCCCGTTGCCATCCCTACTTACACTTCATCTGATAAGCTTTTTAAGGATATGTTTTAGAGACATTTTTGCAGACATTTCTTCTATATATAAAAATACTTTATTTATTAGCATTAAAATTATAAGTTTAAGAAATCATCTATTGACTTAACAGTACTTTTTCTCTCCTGGTATATATATATATATTTCAAGGAAAAAAGATAAACTTCCTAAAGACTTCACATACTATATAAGTAAGAAATAAGAAAAATCAACTGTTCCTAAAACCATTTAATTTATAAGGACTAGTAGTGTCGAGACATTTTGTGCCTTTATATTCTATTTAAGAAAGTTATTTAAAAATTACAAATGTTTGTGGTGTTGTGTTTGGTCCTTAAATTTTAAGGTCTCAAGCTTAAGACTTATGTTTATAAATGAAGTTAATTTTTAATATTAATTTTTATTATTTAAACATTAAAGGATAAACTCATCTAAAAATTTATACACAAATCAAGTTATTGTCTTCATATATACTAGCTTAAAAAAGGCAATTCATGTCTCATGTATTAAAGTAATTTGTTAAAGATATGAACAATTTTTAAGTAGTAGTTATAGTTATAAGAATAATTTTGAGCAATTTTGCAAAATAAAAAAAAGAAAATTAAATAAAAAAATTGTTGAAAAAGTAGTTTAAGAATTAGTTACGAGACAAAATTGTCCAAATATAATAAATCCAAAGTGAATCTCCTTTATAATTAAAATTAGACTTGAACTCACCCGTTGCACGATTTATCGAAATTTATAATTTTTCTTATATTTATATCAAAATTTAGTAATATTATAATAATAATTATTTTTTATATTTCAATTCTTTAGTCTATTAATTAATTAATTAATTAATTAAAATTACTTTTAAATGAATAATATTAACTGATATTAAACTATTTCTATTTGTCGGCGTATTTTTGTCAACTAAACCTTAAACTATTATAATTAAAATTTCTATTTTAATTAAAAGTTGTGCATATAAATTTACAAACTTACTTTATATATATATATATATATATATTATTTAATTTTCTTAATTAATTAAGATAACGTAGATCATCGATTAAATTATGTCACTATTTTATATAAAGCACATATAAAATTATAGTTTTATTTCAATCAAATTTTTTATAAAATATAATTATGATATTATAATTTATTACAATTCATATTAAGAAACTAATAATTTGATTTTATATTTAGTTGATAGTTGCATATCTTAAATAACATATTAATTCATAATCAAAAGATATAATTTGATTAAAATGATAGTTATAAAAAATAATAAATGATATGTAATTATTATTTATTAATTTATTATGAAATATAAAGGTGTCTATATACATATATAATGATAGATATTTTAGGTAAAGTTATGTCAAACACTCAATTAGCTTTCCATGACAATTAAATAGTTATTTTAGGTTAAATAATATATAATTTAATAGACATTCATGTTAGGCATGACAATCTAACCCGCTTTCGTGGGTACCCGTCCGAACCCGTCTCGATTTGGAAGGGGAAAAGCTGTGTTTATCGGGCTTAGATTTGAGTTCGGGTTTTTTCCAATTGATAAAATCGACGGCGGGGGCGGGGACAAGGATGTTAATACCCGCCCCGCCCCCCTTAATAATGTAATGAAAAAATTATTTTTATATATATAAATCAAAATTAGAAATATTTATATGTAAAAATTT